CTCCTCAACTTGAAGTCCCTCACACGTCACCCAGTCAAGTCAATGTAGACGACAGTGGCATCGATGACTCAGGCCTCCACATGATCGAACCAGATGAACCTGCAGAGGACGGCAGTATTGTACGGTTAATCAGTCGAAGGCGCACTATTGGAGTACGTACCAAACATCTTTTCGTGTCTCACTAAGGGCTTACTATTGATACAACAGGACAACCCACTTCTTGTATGGGTATCCGAAATCGACTCATTTGTGGAGGAATTCCTTCGATTGGAAGGACGCGGCGACATCGGAACATCTCCCATAATATGCCATGAGTGTCGGGAAGCCGAAGGAACGTTTCGGTGCCCCCAGTGCTTCAACACTCGGCTATCTTGTCAAAATTGCTTGATTGAACGCCATCGAACGAATCCGTTTCATATCGTTGAAGTAAGTTGACTATCGAAGATAACGCCGCAATACTGACGTTAGATTAGAGGTGGAACGGGAGGTTCTTTGAGCGCCAAACACTCCGGGCTCTTGGCCTTCGGGTGCAGCTCAACCATCTTCAGGGGGACCCCTGCCCTCTTGCGGATACAGCTTTCAACGAAGCTTTCGTTGTCATCTCACTTCATGGGATCTTCACCATCAATCTCGATTTCTGCAATTGTACTCAAGGCGTGTCAAAGAGCGCCCAGCTTCTGCGCGCTCGGCTATTTCCAGCGACAACCGTCGAACCACGAACCGCTGCTACGTTCGAGGTCCTGCGGTTATTCCAACTTCTGACTTTCGGCTCGAAGGTCTCTGGGTATGAGTTCTACCAATCTCTAGTCCGGTTAAGCAGTAATCTAAGAGAATCTGTGCCGGTAAATCAGCTAACTCATCACCATAAAAATTGACAGCTAACCTAGGCCCACAGGAGCGCTATACAGCCTTTATGCGAATCGTTCGCGAGTGGCGCCATATTCGCCTTCTGAAACGTTCGGGACGTGGTCATGATCCAACGGGGGTTTCAGGCACAAAAGAAGGGGAATGCGCCGTACTTTGCCCTGCGTGTCCCCATCCGGGGAAAAATCTACCGTCAGACTGGCAAGTAGAGCCTAGAAAACAGTGAGTAAAGTAGCCTGGATACACAATCGTGACTTACTTGAATTCAGGTGGATTTATTCTTTGTTCGTGGCAATTGATGCCAACTTCCGCCTCAAACGTCTGGCGGCATCAAATGACATCCGAGATCCAGGCTTAAACCGAGGATATGCCTATTTTGTCGACGAGAAGAAGTACAAGGCGTTTTTGGACGCTTCTGGCAATTTCCCGCCCGAAGAGCCAAGTACGTGTAACAACTACGATGCGGTCAAGCTTGCTAGCGTCCGGGGTGGGAAAGGTATGACTGCCAGTGGGGTGGGGACTATAGAATGCAGTCGGCACGACATGAAGCGACCGCTCTCAGTTGGGGACTTGCAACTAGGGGAACGGTAGGTTATTCGTTGCCCTATGTTTCCTCACTCGCTAATAACAATCCTAGCTACTGCAACATGGACTACCTTTATTTTTCCAGCCTCCGAAATCACTCCCCTAACGTAGTCGTTACCTCGTATGATATTGCGTGCCAGTGGGCACGGAACCTTCAAGCTCGTGCGGCGTCATACCCGAAAGAGCTTGTTGGTCCGCGGTTTACTCAGCTGTCAATCAAATACCTCGTTCCGAAGTTCCATCTTTACGCTCATCGCAATGAGTGTCAAATTAACTATTCCTTCAATCTCACACCAAACGTTGGACGCACCGACGGTGAATCTCCAGAGCGCGGCTGGGCGGCAATGAACCCAGTGGCTAGTAGCACCAAAGAAATGGGGCCTGGCTCCCGTCGCGACACCCTGGACGACCACTTCGGTGATTATAATTGGCGCAAGGTCATCATTCTTCGTACGTGTTGACTTCCGCGTGGTTCACTAACTGTCACTGAAGGTTTTTAGATGAATCTCTTCTCCGCAAAGCGCAAGAAGCGTTACAGATGCGATCGGAGCATGTCAAGGCGTTCCAAGCCTTCAGTGAAGGCTTGCCCAAGGAGACTGTCGCTGGTTTCTCACAGTTAGTTTGGGCCTGGGAGGCAGATGCCAAAATGACGAACCCGTACGAGCCGGCACTCCAAACAATATCTCAGGCAAGGATACGTTTAGAGCTCGCAGAAGAGGACGCGGCGGCTGCAGAAAGAGAAGCAGTCGGCGGGATTCATGATGGTGTTAGCCCCAGTGTCTTTATTGCGCAAGGTCTCGATCTTCAAGATCAGCAAGTTCGTCTGCAAACAGATTCGAACGCACTGTCTAACCATGCAACCGATCACCAGCGAACTCAAATAATCGAACGACGAAATCGACTTCGCCGTCGGATCTTGGCATGGCGTGGCGTACAGGATCTATACATGCCGGGAGTCACATCTTTGCGGGCCAGTGAAGCCGAGGCCGATATTCACACCGATGCAGAGTCCCTCAAGCTGTATCTTCCCTCAGAGGTTGCTGACCGGTTACCTGTCCGTTCAATAGCTGACTACGAGTGGCGACTACGCTATGGGCAGGCGTTCGATTCACTCGGGGATCTCCGCCGTAACCTCCTTGTCCTAAGTTCGATGTATCAATCGAAGGATCGGTACTCACGCGGCCAATTTCACAACACTCGGAGTGTCATGCTGGTGAAGAACGTGCAAACACGTGTGAATGCGGCCGCAAGCAAATATCGAACATGTAGAGTTGCCCTTCACGCATTGGGCACGGTTCTCGGGAAATCAGGGTGGGAGCAAGTGTTGCGACCACTGTTAGACGCCGATGTTCGTGGCTTAAGGGACGGAGAAGATGCGAGTCAATCTGAAGGGCGCCGAACTCTCTCGTGGATATGGGCAACCGAGCGAACAAACGAAGCAGAACTGACGGAAGGTATGAACGAAGGTAAAAGAAGGTTTTAATTTAACAATGACTTTACTTTCGGCGCTAATATTGAGTAGCTCTCAGAATTGAATGGTGCAAGAGCCGCGCGAGAGCCCAACGATGGCAAGAGGAGTGTATCCTCCTGTCAGAGGAGATGCGACGTGTTATCCAGTTTCACGAGTGGCAAGCGAAGAAATGGGAGGAACGCGCATTGGCAGCCACTGAGGAGGGTCCCCGCGCGTACGCGTGGCGCCAGGAGCACACACGGCAGACACTAATGATGCAGTGCAGGTCAGCATGGAAGGATGTCCCTGCGCTAATGGCAACGGGGGAGGGTGCTGTTTCGGTCGGGGCGCCGCTAGTAGAATGTTGTAGCCGTCCATAGATAGTAATCTCTACTACTTTTTTGGGTCCACGCGACAAAGAAGGGGGAAGCCAGATTAGAAAGAACAGGGCGAGATTAAGCCCCCGATGTCAAAATCCAATAGGGAAAGCGACGCGAAGCGTAGTCCCATCATCGTTCACGACGATGGGCGGACACTCCCCCTCAACTGTGGGAATAAGAACCAGTGATGTATAACAGGCACTGTAATGGTACGCTACAAAGAACCTACTGTAAGTGTAGTCGTTGATGCATCACACATGCCCTGTAGGTAGAGTATATTATATATAAGCAGGACAGCTACAGGTGGGGAGGCAGATGCCAAAATGACGAACCCGTACGAGCCGGCACTCCAAACAATATCTCAGGCAAGGATACGTTTAGAGCTCGCAGAAGAGGACGCGGCGGCTGCAGAAAGAGAAGCAGTCGGCGGGATTCATGATGGTGTTAGCCCCAGTGTCTTTATTGCGCAAGGTCTCGATCTTCAAGATCAGCAAGTTCGTCTGCAAACAGATTCGAACGCACTGTCTAACCATGCAACCGATCACCAGCGAACTCAAATAATCGAACGACGAAATCGACTTCGCCGTCGGATCTTGGCATGGCGTGGCGTACAGGATCTATACATGCCGGGAGTCACATCTTTGCGGGCCAGTGAAGCCGAGGCCGATATTCACACCGATGCAGAGTCCCTCAAGCTGTATCTTCCCTCAGAGGTTGCTGACCGGTTACCTGTCCGTTCAATAGCTGACTACGAGTGGCGACTACGCTATGGGCAGGCGTTCGATTCACTCGGGGATCTCCGCCGTAACCTCCTTGTCCTAAGTTCGATGTATCAATCGAAGGATCGGTACTCACGCGGCCAATTTCACAACACTCGGAGTGTCATGCTGGTGAAGAACGTGCAAACACGTGTGAATGCGGCCGCAAGCAAATATCGAACATGTAGAGTTGCCCTTCACGCATTGGGCACGGTTCTCGGGAAATCAGGGTGGGAGCAAGTGTTGCGACCACTGTTAGACGCCGATGTTCGTGGCTTAAGGGACGGAGAAGATGCGAGTCAATCTGAAGGGCGCCGAACTCTCTCGTGGATATGGGCAACCGAGCGAACAAACGAAGCAGAACTGACGGAAGGTATGAACGAAGGTAAAAGAAGGTTTTAATTTAACAATGACTTTACTTTCGGCGCTAATATTGAGTAGCTCTCAGAATTGAATGGTGCAAGAGCCGCGCGAGAGCCCAACGATGGCAAGAGGAGTGTATCCTCCTGTCAGAGGAGATGCGACGTGTTATCCAGTTTCACGAGTGGCAAGCGAAGAAATGGGAGGAACGCGCATTGGCAGCCACTGAGGAGGGTCCCCGCGCGTACGCGTGGCGCCAGGAGCACACACGGCAGACACTAATGATGCAGTGCAGGTCAGCATGGAAGGATGTCCCTGCGCTAATGGCAACGGGGGAGGGTGCTGTTTCGGTCGGGGCGCCGCTAGTAGAATGTTGTAGCCGTCCATAGATAGTAATCTCTACTACTTTTTTGGGTCCACGCGACAAAGAAGGGGGAAGCCAGATTAGAAAGAACAGGGCGAGATTAAGCCCCCGATGTCAAAATCCAATAGGGAAAGCGACGCGAAGCGTAGTCCCATCATCGTTCACGACGATGGGCGGACACTCCCCCTCAACTGTGGGAATAAGAACCAGTGATGTATAACAGGCACTGTAATGGTACGCTACAAAGAACCTACTGTAAGTGTAGTCGTTGATGCATCACACATGCCCTGTAGGTAGAGTATATTATATATAAGCAGGACAGCTACAGGTGAACGTACAATGTCTTGCTTCACTTTCTTGAATGGGTCCATAACTACCCGCGTAGCTAATTCACGCCATTCCTTTGCCAGCCTTTGGAACTTGGCTCCAGGCATCCACTCGGGAATGTATTTCATGATAGGAAAGGTTTCGACCAGAAATCTACCTGAAACGATTGCTTGAATCAGTCCTTGAAGAGCCTGTTCGACGACATTGATGTATGGATCATCTTGACCACGCGTCTGTATCCCATGAGATAACTCCATGAGAACGGCGCCCACGAAGCTAACGAGGAGAAATCAGATTGTCTTTTATGGAAGGTAGTCGATGCACCCACTGCCGTACATGATCTATGAAGCCATCCGGATTGTCGAGCAAGCTGAGGAGTAAGCGACGGGAGAGCTTGATCACTTGCGGTTGAAAGTTCGGTATAGAAGATGGACTCAGGTTTTGCTGGAACAATCTACGATGTTGCTTCCAGTCATCCCCCTCCGGCATATGCGCCACGGCCCATTCCCATCCCATTCTAAGCGCGAAGTTACGTCATTCGAGGCCCAGATGCGTACATGCTTGTATGTTTTTAGACTTACAGTTCGTTTATCATGACCAACCGCGGTCTGCATCATGCACCATCAATCACAAAATCCAGGTGACGCTGCTTCGGCAATTGAAACAGGAAGGAGCTCACCGGCTAGAATAGATAGTCGACCGCTTATCGAAGAGTTCATGTGCTGTCTCTGCCGAATTGACAATGACGATGGAAGTGCCTGCTACTTGGAGGTGGATGATGTCCGAGTCTATTCATCAGAAGGAACCACGAGTCTCAGTCAGGGCCGACCTCGATGTGCCGGTCAAAACGGGGAACACTGCAATGAAGCACGTACTGTACTCTTTCGACCATTCTGCGAACTTCACCCATTCCTCTGAACTGGGCATCTCCAGGAGGCTGCCAATGATGGGGTATTTCTTCGGCCCAGGAGGGAGGGGTAGCCGCGAACGAGAGGGCGCGTTGAACAACTTCCAGAAGTACATTATGCCAAGGATTGCCAGAAGAAAGAGAATGAGCGGATCCTGGAGGGCACTGGTGACCTCCATTGGTGTCGTCTTGATAACGTTGGCGGACGGCTCGAACAGCGATTTGGTGGGGGGGATGAATCAGAGGGGGACTAAAGGAACGCATTCCAGCCTAATCCCAGAGCTCTTATACCCAGAAACGCATTCGGTGGCGTTGGTCCTGACCAAGTCGAACGGCACTTTTTAGGTCATATGTATGGGAGTCCTTGCATTCAGCTTAAAGGCTTTGCCTCCTAATGGAGCTGAACGCTTGATGACCCACCTAGAATGCATCGGTGCGGCCGTCAGCACTGGCGCATAATGCAGCTAATTCCTGACGAATCAAATCAGGAAACGCTGATCGATGGACTGATAAACTGTTGGTCGGACAACTCACCATTGTGACCTGTATCTGCTCTTCCGTTATCCAGAGCGTACGGCGGCGCCCAGCCTGCCTCGAGGTATCCTGAGCATCAATTCGGTCAGCTCAGATTGCGAAGCTTTACGTTGACACGCCCAGTCGCTGGCGATCATGAGAAACAATGGCATCGTTACAACGTTTAGGCAACCAGATGTGTGGGATTCTGCTTTAAGGTCGTGTCGAGGTATGAGTCCGATTCATGATAGCCCTTAGCCAGCCGGAGGCGATCATCAGTTTAAAGTGCCCGATTGTTGAATAGAACCTTCGACTCGGAGGCACTGAAATACTCAAGGGAAAGATTACGTCCAAACTTACGGAACAAGTTGACCCTGGCTGGACAACGCCGACATTCAGGGGACAGGAGCTATCTATAAGCGCTTGAGCCTCACAGCGTGATCGTCGCCGTCGTCGGTCGTCAATGTCAGAAGTGAAGCTTCGACCGACGAAAAGGACGGTCCGTGACGGGTGACCGTCACCCATCACGTGGACCGTCCCTGAGGGCCCAGGCCGTCCCGACGCTCCGGCTGATCAAACGATCAGGAGCCGAGTTGCCGGCCACAGCCACCAGCGCCAACTGGGACGTAAGTGGCCTCGAGGCGCGCCCACTGCCCTCCTCCTTCCCCGGGGCTCCCCATCCCATCTCCCATCCCAGATGTACAGTAGACTGAGACTGGAATGGAGTACAACTCACCTGAAATCCATCATGAGTCCTTGAGGTGTGCAGCTGAGCAGTGAGAGCAGGGAGGAGGGAGGAGGTCAAGATGTGCCAGGTGATGGTGATGGGAATTGTGAAAGGGTGTGGGACGTGAATACAGGCGCCGCAGGCGCACACAAATCGGGACGATTGTCCAAATGGGGCAAGAAGCACGAAACGGCGAGGCTGAAGCTCCAACATGGGAAGCGCGCCCACAGACGGCCTTGGGTGTATGGAACCGTAAGTGCCCTCCTACCCTTGCGTGACAGGACTGTCCGGTTGCGTTACAGGACCGTCCTTTTTTCGCCCAGGAGCGGATTTCGGCTCCCCCGGATCTCTGCGCAATTTGGCAGAGGCTTCCCCCCAAAGCCGTCCCCTACTCTGTCCTTCATGCAAAAAGGACAGTCCCCGGACAGTTTGTCACTCCCACATGACCGCGTCACACCCTCTCTGCTCACTTGGCGCCGCTGACTCATGCAGCAGGGCCCAGGGCTCGATAGCGACCGACTCCCGCACCTCAGCACCTCTCCTCCTCCCCCTACCAGTCTCCCCCGTTATCCCCTCAAATTGCGTCCGCTTGGGCGCGTTTTGACGCGTCTCATTGGCTCCCTCAGCACACATATCCATGGGGAGGCCCTCAACGCGTCCAGTGGTCATGTGGGCCCCCAACCAGCTGACTCTGCCCATCCAGGGGGACATGGCAAAAGAGATGCCATATCTTGGTGAGTTCTCCATCGTTCAAGACGGTTCCGGGCTCGTTCTGACACTCCAGCACCAGCTCTAGATGTCCGCTCAAACGCCTAAGCCATTCGCCGTTGTTTGCCCTCCCTGCAGGCGCTGCAGTGGTGCCAAACCACCACGAGGTGGGGAGATCATATCTCGGTGAGTTCTTCACCTTATATCCTGTTCTTGGGCTCGTTCTTACTCGCCTAGGGCTCCACAACATGGGCGCGCCGTTTGCGAACAGGCCGCTTGCGAATCGTCCTCCCCAACGACGAGATACTGCCTCATGGTGCCCTTCAGGAGGGGGAGCATATCTCAGTGAGTTCACCGCTGATTTGGATGATCTATAGCGTGTTCCCCATCGCATTTAGGCCCTGTACATGGGACCGCTTAGTGCGTACCGGCTGGCTGCGAGTCGAGGGCCCCTCATCGAGATACTTCCCCCAGAGACCCCTCAGGAGAGGGTGTCATATCTCAGTGAGTTCTCCATCGTTCTGCTTGATCTTGGGCTCGTTCTTAACTGCATATATGTCCAGGACATGGACACACTGTCCCTCTGCGAATCGCTTGCGGATCCATTCCCTCAGCATCGAAATACTTCCCCATCTCCCCCCTCCCCTCTAGAAACTTGTACAAGTGTAGATGGTTGTGTAGAAGTTTATATTGATCCAATGCCACTCTATCTACACTCTATCTGATACATTGGCTTGCTACTTGATTCCTGAGCACACTAGTCAAAGGTAGACTGATGAGCACTGCCTCAAGCCCCCTTTCTTCTTGACCACCATGAGCACCACTTCAGTGAACCTCTATCCTGGTATTCAGCAAGCTCTCAGCCATTTATCATCCTCAGATGAGATCCAGATTGAAGATGAGATGGATGGTGAGCAGGAGTCCTTTCCAGGAGACCAGCAGTTGGCTTTGGATGGTCAGGGGTTGGGAACAGAGCTTCGAGATGTGATCTTGGGTGCTTCAAAGGGCGTTACTGAAGGGACTGCTGCACACTATGAGCGGTATGTTATCTGAACCTCTTCCTCATCTTAGAGGATGACCTGGTGCTGCCCAGCTTAATGGCTCAGTGCAAGAAGTTTGCAATTGAGAAGAAGTTTGTTCGTGCAGATGGGGAGGTCTTCAGCAAGGCACCTCACCGAGATACCCCACTGTGGATAATTGCCTGGATCATGGATGCGTAAGCCAATCTGTATGCCCCTCACTGTTTGCTGACTCAATCATGGCTCTAGATGTGACGTGATCCGTCTTGACGCCTCTCCAAAGCTGTCAACGGATACACGTAGCTCATACTCTCACGCGCAGAAGATGCGAGCTGCCATGACATATGCATTTGGGCGTGTCCATGGCTTAGGCTCTCTTGCGTGGCATGAGAGGGATGATGGGACAATGCAAGGAAATCCTTCAATATCGAATCAGGTATCTGCCTATATGCTTAGCTTGCGTCGACGAAAGGTGAGCACAATAGGGTGTATACCGGTCCTTGATTCATGTCTGACATTGTTAAAAGGTTCACGCAGGAGAGGCAGCAACTAGTGCACGGGCTATCACCCAGGTGAGATTTTTTTAACCGTTCTGTTTTCAAGTATTCACTTGTTACAAACATGTAGGACATCTTAAAGGACCTTTACAATTTTAACCACCGTCCTGAAAACTGGGAGATCAAACAATACTCTCCAGGTAAGCGCAAGAATGCAGCAGATCAAGAGGAGGAAGTGCCGTGGGCTGGTGGGAACACCCGTCGACTTCTCTTTGCTGCATTCACCATTGCATATCTATGCCTGCTACGAGTCGACGAAGTCTTGAAGATCAAGTTCTCTCACCTTCAATGGGACGCTCATGACGACAACCTGATTGTTCTGACTCTTCCATTTCGTAAGACCAGTCAGAATGGTGGTGAGTTCTTTTAGACGCCTTTTCTCTTATATCTGATGACTAGCTATTCTGACAGACATCAAGCCCTTTGTCTTGCGCCGCCTTCCTGACTATTTCCAACATCTCTGCCCAGTTCGTGCATTGTGTGACTGGATTCTGGCCTCACAGCTCTCCAGTGGATATGTCTTTCGAAAGGTGTTATCTGGAGACCGCTTCTCCGCTACCGACATTGCCATGGTGAGTCATCTGCATTACATGGGACCTTCTCTTGCACATGCTCACACCCTTTTCAGACAAGCGAGCAGTTCTTGGAGCTCTTCCGGAACAGTCTCTTGGACATTCGGTTAGATCCATACCCATATGGAACTCACTCTTTCCGTCGTGGTGGATGTCAGTTTTTGCATGGAGATCTCCGGTGGAGTCTCCGTCGACTCTGTGACTGGGGAGGATGGAGCACCGATTTCACCCACTTGACTATAGTCAAGTATCTCATCTCCTGGAACGACGAGCCTGGAGAAAAGAGGGAGGACTTTCTCAACTTAGAGAGGCCACCCTCTCTCAAGTGCCCATCCTGTGGAAGAAGTTGCTTATGTGCATACTGATTATTGTAGTATGTAGATATAAGATGGCTATATATATAGTCTAGTATTGAATGTCTACTCCATGGTATGAAAGTGCTTTGCAATGGCAGACGGTTGACTGAGCACATGAGTCTTTCCATGCTTCTCATATGTGAACTGATCAGCAAAGTTTGAGCCATACTGAGCACGAGCTGCCTCAGCTGCCTCAGCGTTCCGCTCCTTGTTGCGCCTCTGCAACTCACTGAGGATGGCAGTGTAGCTAAGACGCTCACCCTTGGAGTTGGTAAACTCCGTCCAGAACAAAGTCGGAGTTGTCCCCAACCAATGCTCCGCAATCAACTGAAGTGTTTGTCACTCATCTGCAACAGCCAACAATGTACAAGTACTCACCTTGCGTTCATGCCAACGCTTTTTCAACCCGTTCCACTGCTGGGGCTTGCAGTAATAGAGCTCTCTCCAATGGACCAGCGCAATTGGGTGCCCATGGATGCTGAAGGGGGCCTTGCTTGGATCCCAAAGAGGCGAAGTATCTGACCACATGGGGGGAAGGCTCTCAAGATCCTTAGCGAAGGAAAGAAATGGCGGTTCAGGAACATCGTGAGCAGTGAACAACAAGCGGAAGCCATCCCCAAGGGTCAAGGTGAATGATTTCAAGGGGAGAGGTGGTGTACCAGAGATGGTGGGAAGGACAGGCAGTGGAGTAGAAGGGGCAGAGGAGTGGGCTGTTGGTGTGGAAGGA